GTGAGTGTTTTAACTTGATGGTGGTGGTGGGATGAGTCCAAGAACATTGTTAGAAATACAAAATATCAGAGTCAGATTTTGTTATGGAAGGTGTCATCACAAAAACCTATTTGATAGGTGTCATGACACAGAAATACTTGATTGGTGTCATAACAGAAGTCATGATACAAGCATACAAGATTCTATTCAAGAGTGAGTGAGTTTTAGTTTTACACCGCACTCAGCAATATTCCAGCTATATGGCGGCGGTCTGTAAATAATCGAATCTGGACCAGACAATCCAGTGATCAACAGCATGAGCATCAATCTGCGCAGGGAACCGGGACATATGTCAATCAAGTCAGCGAGTCTGACCACCCGATTCCATTAGTCGCCTCTTACCACAAGCATAGTCGCCTTTTGTGGCAAGCATGGGTTGCTGAAGACCTATTCTACCCCGGATCTTCATCGGGTCTCAATGAGAAAGACTTCACGTGAGAAAGAAAGACATTGCACTGCGACCAATCACCATTAATCTGTGAAGATCTGGGTTAGAATTTGACTTCAGCTACCTAGGCGACTAACAGGAATGGGTTGGTAGCCTTGCTGACTTGGTTGACATGTGTCATCGGGGTTTAGGACAATTGCCACCGGACAATTGCCACCGGATACTAGCCACCTGGACAAAAGTCAATATTTCATCAAAGTCAAAATTACTTCAAGGTTAAAAGTTGATCAAATTCAGAAAATGAATATGCCAAGAAAATATTGACTTTTCATCATCAAAAGTTTATTGACAACCTGCATTGATTTTCTCAAATAAAATTACACCAAAATTCTTGGTGGCAATTGTCCTCGAACTTATAGTAACTATAACTGGGTGGCAATTATCGTGGGTCGCAATTGTACCAATTGTCCGAGGTGACAATTGTCCTAGGTGGTAATTGTCCTAGGGTGACAATTGTCCTGCTCTCATGTCATCATATCCCAATTGCTTAGATCCATGCTCATACTGTTGATCACTGGATTGTCTGGTCCAGATTCATGTCTGGTCCGCTGATTGTGGCATCTTAACAGCAAACGAACCGACAAACAACCAAACAAAAATCAATGACCATTAAAACCACATTCCATAACAGCCGATATGTTAAATGACATCAAACAAACTGTACAGCTTTAACGCTTCATGTTAGACAAACAACAATCAATAGTGCGTCTTTACTTCCTTGATCTACACCGATACTTGTTTTATAAAGTGACTGGATTCAGTCGATAGCCAGTTTCCTGTTTCACGGATGAGACATGCAACGAGTGGTATTACATTTTAAAGCTGATTCACCTATCGTGTGATTGTGATCGCATGGGGAAAATCGACACTGAACATCATCACATGGTCCAAAACCCACCTGTAAACATCTACCATCACTCATTCAATGCTGCAACAGCTGTTCATTACTGATAGGTGAAGTTAAGAGCTATGCTTATTTACACAGACCTGAGTGCCCATTAAGATAATCTGGGAAAACTGGCTCCTAAACTAACAATTTTAACAAACATCGTAAAAAAATTGTAGCCATCCATTTATTACCCGTTATTTGGTTGTGCCAGCTGGTAGGGATGCCACGATACATCGATACTTTTTCTAAGATGACACAATTATCGATACATTCAAACTGTATCGATATTTTTTCTTAAAGTATCGGTTTAAATATGCTTATGTATCGTTTACATATTGCAGCTTGTATCATGTTTTTTTTATTTTAGCAGAATCATAAATGATTATTTTTCATGCACAAAGATGGGAAATTAGAACTTTTTAATCTCTGAAAATAAAAAATGTTGATCATTTCATGGACAATTATAATATGAAATATTAATCTTCAAAATGTAACTAAATTTACGCAATAATGCCACGAAAATAGGTATCGTAATACGTATCGAATCGTGACATGGGTATCGTAATATGTAATGATTCATGAAACATAACTGTGACATCCCTACCAGCTGGTATACACAATATACAGCAGCATGTAATTATTTTTATGTAATGGGTGAGTGAGTGAGTATGGCTTTATGCTGTTTTTAGCAATATGCCAGCAATATCACGGCGGGGTACAAGCTGCCAAACACGGTCACATAGTTTGTTTGTTTGGTTTTTTAGCTTGTTTGTCGTTTGTGTAACAACACACTCAGCTATCAGTGTTTATCACTTACATAGATCCATCTGTCAGCTGCTATGCTAATACACAACCATCTACCTTAGTCATCTGAACAATTAATCTGGGGACAAACATCACGAAGCATGGACGACCGGCTCCTACACCGTATCCATATTATTGTCCATCAAATACCTCATGCTCAGTCATGTCCCATTCGCATTGACGCCTTATTACTTCCGTCGTCAATTACACCAGTTTGGAAACACAACCCAATTTCAGACAAAAAAACAGGCCATATATTAAGCTGGTGATAGGTAAACAAAGGCTCTCTGGTGAAATGTGATGATTGTAAACAAAGTATATGACAGAGGCCAGTGTCTGGTAGCAGCAGGATTCGTGGGTGGATTGACACTAAATCAGAATATCAGACCTGATCACTACTGTATAGGAACTCCAAGGATTGGCAGCGTCCCAGATCACCTCAAACATTCACAAACATTCACAAACATTTACAGAAAGAGGCTAGACTTTGTTTGTTTGCTGCTTACACTCACTAAGCAAAATTTCTTTTATGACAGCAGTCTATAAATTATCATGACTTACATCCAATCAGCATTATTCATATTGTATGACTGCGTCCTGTGAATAATCAAGTTTATTGCTGCACTCCGCAATATTCCAGCTTCATGACAACAGTCTAAAATAATCAAATATTATGTCGCACTCAGCAATATTCCACCAATATGACAATCTAAATTAATCAAATTTTATGCCACACTCAGCAATATTCCGACAATCTAAAACAAAAGTCATCAGAATCCCCCCGGCCCCCATGAATTTGAAAGAATAAATCAACTGACTGTTACTTAAAGTCCAACTTGATTTTTTTAGCCTAAGTCCAAACTATTACCATGGAAATCATGAAAAATAAAAATGTCAAGATCTATTTGATATATCTGTCAAGTCTTGTAGACAGATATTGAACAGTTTTCGAGTTGTGATCCGGAACGTAACCCACCCCTCCCTTTTGAGACTAAGTCAGAATCATTTCCATGGAAACCGAGAAAAATTAAAATGCCAGAAATCTGTAAATAGCAAAAGGCACCACTTTAGGTTATGTTTGATAAAAATTATATCTACCAAGTCCGGTTTCCGAAGTTGTGAACAAATATTGACCAAAACGTTTCCATAGAAACCAAGTTGTGCTCTGAAATAGCAAAGCTTCACCATTCTCTTTGTTGAGACTATGTCCAAAACGTTTCCATAAGTCCAAAACCAAGAAAAAAAATATAAAATGCAAAAACCACTCTGTTAGCCAAAAGTCAAAACTAGCAAAAATATTGGCACCACTTTCTCCCTTTTGGACTAAGTCTGAATCGTTTCCATTTAAACCGGAAAAATATATCTGCAAATAGCAAAAGGCAAGTTTTATCTGCCAAGTTTTGAAAGATATTTAGAAGTTTTCGAACTCCAGAAACGTTTCCACCCCTCCCTTTTGAGATTAAGTTCAACTCGTTTCCATGGAAACCCCAATTTTTTTTTTAAAAATGACGAAAATCTACAAATAGCAAAAGGCACCACTTTAGGTTCTGTTTGATATATCTACCAAGTTTTGTTGAAAAATATTTAACAGTTGTTGAGTTGTGCTCCGGAAATGAAACCAATCCCTCCTTTTTGAGTCCAAAACATTTCCATGGAAACCAAGAAAAATAAAAATGCCAAAAATCTGTAAATAGCAAAAGGCACCACTTTAGGTTCTGTTTGATATATCTACCAAGTTTTGTTGAAAATATTGAACGTTTTTTTGAGTTATGCTCCGGAAACAAAATGATTAACTTTCGGACTGACAGACAAGTTAACTATTCACCCCAGCAACACATGGGACAATATAATCATTCATAAACATTCCAGCTATATAGTGAACTCCCCAATAATCAAGTCTCCAGATAATCAGTACAGTACATCAAGTAGATGCTTACATTACCCAGCCATCACCCCTTTTACCATATCATCTATCTGTTTACACGACATGGACATACATGTACATATCCATTAGACCGATGTTCTCGTTAAAAGCATGCTAAGTGAGCAGACATAATGATGAATGTTTTAAATAGCTCAATAACAGCATACCATTAAAATCTGATGTTCATTTCATTACAGCTGTTTAATTACTTTCACAAGTCATGTCTGTAAATTGATATCCTTGTAAGGCCAAACCAAATCATTTCTTGCATTAACATATTCATCCTGAATTTATAATCACAAATTACAAAAATAATCTAAAATGTTATTTAAATGGATTTGTTAATAAAATAGAAACATTGACTTTCATATAAGATTATCTCTTTTCAAATATTTCTGAGCTTAAATAAATTAATAATATTCAGTTGACTTCGATCCAATATTTTCCCAGATTTTAAAATACATAATCTTTCCTATTCAGATGAGACTAGATTCCTGTCACAGGCCAAGGAATGTTTTTTGCGTTAAATAAATAAGTGTATACACTACACGTTATCATGTGATGCTTGTCTGACGTCATAGCAACGTTTCTTGCTTGCTTTTGTAAATAAACATGGGTATGCAAGGAAGTGAAATGGACGAGTGTTGATAGCAGAAGGCACTGAGGGGTGTATGGTGATAAATAAGCGGGGAGATCTGGAACCGTGTTCATCGGAAATTCACACTCAGGACTGGTATCTGACAAGGAAGCTGATACGGAGGCTGCTTTTTTTCTTCTGATGCTTTAAGATTACCTATATCACAAGAGTATGTCTGCACTTATAGTACAAATGTACTGGACAATATATATGTTGTGCTTACAACACAGATTTCTAAAAACACATTCTGTGAAGTTAGGCTGTATGTACTTTTAATGTGTTTTTAAGCTTCAGCCTAAACAAGTAAGAGAGCAGGTGGGCGAATAAATAAATAAACAAATAAATGTCAAATTTAGTAATTGGTAGTACTGGACAATATATATATGTGCAACCCAGATCAAATAATGTTTACTAATTTTGTTTATTATTATATTTAGAGCAAAATATCACTCACTAATATGTAGAACAAAATATCACTCACTCACTCACTCCAATTCATCCTTCCCAGGGAACCTCACTTTTCCAACAACCCCATAATAACGTTTCAATGCATGCAACAAATCCCATTTTAAAACTGTGAGTTTGGGTTCATAACTGACCTAATTTAACATATGCCTGTAATACAGAACCTCAGGAACCACCCACATCTGGTAACGCTTGGCAACCTTGAGCGCTATAATGCTGCAACAGCCTATTAGGAAACTTAAAACCCATCGCCACCACCAACAGCAGGTTTCCAACACTAACAGTCGTGTTGGAGTGAGTCAGAAACCACCCCTGCTTATTTCACCATCAAAGATTCTATCTGTTGTGTATGACACATTAAATCTGCAGTGAAAAAAAACAAATGAAATTTGAAGGATAAAGATGTAGAATAAAAAGGATATTTATGAAAACTGACATTTCATGTGGAGATTAAAATTTTGCATCACAGATGATATTTGTTATACACATCACAGATATAATCTGTGATGCAGCAATATAATCTTAACATGACATTTCTTTATAAGAATTCTTCTTTTCTGTCCAATTCTCCTTCCTTCAAGTTCCATTTTTATTTCTTTCAGGATTAAAGGCACAATGTCACACATTTTCGACAATTTTGTGGCTTATAATATGCACTCACTTTAGCTTCCTATTGATGCAATAAAAGACTTATTATCCCTTACGACTTGCCTGAAATCGATAATTTAAACTTTGAGACGAACAGCTTCCAAACAGAGAACACTTGCCATATATGGAATGTGAACAATAGCTCCGTACATCGAAAACTGTCGCATGTGGTGTTGTCGGTGTTTGCCAAATTGGTTTCAATCACAAGTTGTGCGTAGGATATTCTGGTTTCAATCACAAACTGTGCGTAGGATATTCGTTAAGAGCGCTCCAAGGGACATAACTCTATGGGCTTCGCTTGAAATAATGTTCGGCCAGTAGGGGCGTGAGAGTTGATTTAATGCAACCTTGCATTAATTCATTCAAACTTTTTAATTTAATATTGTAATCTAAATACTTAAAGTTTGGGGGAATAAATGATATGGTAGCTACACTGAGGGCTGATAGTATTATTGAGAGAAATGCATTACCGTATATTACCATCTATAAGCTGAATTTTGAGGACCCAAAAAAGCAGTCTGTAGAAGGGGGTCGTCTTATCCATGGGTTACGCTTTAGTCAAACTTTTTTCCAGCGGTAAGAAAACAACATCGTATCACTTCGCGTGAACAAACAACAGAAGACGACTTTGTTAGTAGAGACGTTAAATTTGCAATTAAACATCACTAGACAAGATTATTTACCTTTTAAGTTATAAGTTGTTTTTGCTGGGCATTGTATTATTTGCAGGTATTAAGATTACCGTGTGTATCTGAGCCGGAAATAGCAATCAGCTGTGCACATGTTTCCCGGCGACCAAAGTTATAATTTTTGGTAACTGCCAGTTGTCTGTGGTCTGTGTTTGCCGCAATTAGGACCCCATAGTGGGGGGATAGACTTATACCATTTTGACACTGAGTTTTATGGTCAAGTTTGGGGGTCGTCTTATCCATGGGGTCGTCTTATAGACGGTAATATACGGTATATACTTTAAGAGAAATTTGGAGTGATATAGTGCCTTTAAGACTAGGGGTAATATCTGTGGTGGTTGTGACGGGTACAGGCCTGACCTCGGTGGTGCTGTGATTCATTATGACACATACAAATGTCCTAATGTGTTCTTTCATCAGTAATTTGTATTAATCTAACTGAAGATAACCTACATTTTGACAATGGCTGACCATTATTCTCTTAGGTGTTGCTGTGGTTATAATGCATGGGTAATAGACACCATAAACATTAAAAAATATATTTAAAAGTTTTATCAAACGAATCATGGATTTATTTCTGAAACAAAAATTTCAGTTTGTTTCAGAAATAAGCATTGTCACTTAAGTAAACCTTGCCATTAGGAGATTAAATATACATGAATTTGAAAACACAAAACCCCTAAAGTTTCCAATCATATTGTGATACATGCTCATTAAATTCAAATCATGTACACTAGTAATACCGTCCTGCTGTGCGAGTCAAAATTTAACATCACGTCTGCATTATGTCACCGACTGCCTGTAGAGTAAGGTGGGATGTACAAATGTTAATCTTGTCAACACATGGAATAATGTTCAACATTAAACTATGACAAATACAACAAAATATGTCTGCTGATGCTTGTCTACATTGGGTTAATGTGGTTAAAGCGTTGGCTCGTCATGCCGATTCCCCACATGGGTACAATGTGTGAAGCCCATTTCTGGTGTCCCCCGCTGTGATATTGCTGGAATATTGCTAAAAGTGGCGTAAAACCTCACTCACTCACTCACATAAAACCCAACTCACTCACTCACCATATGCATTTCGACCAAAATATGCAGCAAATGGCCGTGACAAAATAACTTTTACATTTTATCCATCAGTTCATTTTAATCTATTTGTTATAAACATAGTTTATTGTAGTATATAATGAGTGAGTTTAGTTTTACGCCACTTTTAGCAACATTAATATCACAGCAGGGGAAACCAGAAAGGGACTTCACACATTGTACCCATATGGGGAATCGAACCCAGGTCTTCAGCGTGATGAGCAAACACTTTAACCATTAGGCTACCTCACTGTAGTATATGAGCACAACAACTGTGAACACTACGTAAAACCCTATTTCATCTCACCTTTGAGTTAGAATTGGTCTCCAAGAAGCTACGCGTGTCTGGTAATGAATCTGTGTTAGATCTCAAGAAGCAGTGCCAGCTGTAGTTCTGTCTTTGCCTAATCCACACAAATCCCAGATTTACAACCCTCAACAGACAGAAATATTTACACAGCCCAGCTGAAGAATACACCAGGCAAGTAACTTGTACGCCATTAAATCGGAGCCGTGATCTCTCAAGTCCTGCTCAGGTGCCTGATACAGTAGCTTAGTACAACAATAAACTTGTTTGCTTTGTCATGCATGGCGGAGATATAAGTGATTGAATACTTTTTAATATTTCCACAAAGTCAAGGGAAATAACATCCCAGTCAACATAGTAACACCTTGCTGTCAATAAATACGTACATTGACAGGAAACAGACCAGCGGAAATGAATGTCTGTGTTTAAAAAGGTTCTTCCATGAAACTGTCAAGCAGGTACACTTTCAGATGAGAAGTTTTTACAGCTTTGTGTTTCATTTATGTCAGTGTTCCAGTCATATCAGTTCAGGTTTACATCTATGTTGAACAGTGTTTCATCTGTTTCCCTCTTCCAGTCATATCAGACCCGGGTTCGATTCCCCACATGGGTACAATGTGTTAAGCCCATTTCTGGTGTCCCCCGCCGTGATATTGCTGGAATATTGCTAAAAGCGACGTAAAACTAAAATCAGTCAGTCCAGTCATATCAGTTCTTCAGGTATATCCTAGTGTTTCAGTTATCCCACACTGTTTCAGTTTATCAGTTTTTCCATTATATCTCAACGTTTCAGTCCTATATCATTAGTGTTTCAGTTAAACATCTGAAGAACACAAGATTTTATTTGTTGTTTAACGCGGCACTCAGCCATCTTCTAGCTGCATGACAGTGGTGTGTAAATAAACGGGAGCACCAGACAATCCAGTGACTGGCAGGGGCATCAACCAGGTCAGAGACCCTGACCATCCATAAGACCATTGGTCACCTCTAAACACAAGCATGGTTGGTGAAGATCTATTCTGTGACATCCGGATCTTAAGGACGGAAGGAAAGCAAGAAGAGACACAGATTGACATTTACAACTTGTTAAAACGGTTAGGATGACTATAGTGCTGGCGTCAGGGGTCGCCGGGGTTCAATTCCTGACAAGAAAATTTCAGTTTTGTGCTTTCAAAGATTTAACAATGTGATACCTGAGAACGTTCTCTTACTGCTGTGTGCGTGCGTGCGTGCGTGCGTGTAAGAATCTTCTCCAACATGTTTCACTTTTATCTTCAGGGAGAAGTAAAAGTGAAACATGTTGGAGAAGATCCGTGTCGTGTGATTATTTCAGAAACTTCTTCTTATATATGTACTACTGTATGCTCGGTATTCTCATCACTTTCTTTATATATATATATATATATATATATATATATATATATATATATATATGAATGTGGGGAGCTACTGGAGAAACAATACCCATCAATAGTTTCACCTGAAAGTGTAAAAATTTATGTTTGTGAGCCAAGAAACAAATTAGATAAATTACGACCCAACAAGTCTAGATTTCCTCAGATTCAGGTTCTCAATCTCCAAATTTGCTGGGGCTCCTTTTCAATTATAATGGAATATTCAGAGACTAAGCATTAGTGTAACATACAATCAGCTTCTCACTTCGACAGGTGTTTCAGAACCTAATGAGAAGAATCAGCAGACCAGGTGCATCTGTGAAGGTCACCATCAACATACGCTTGTCATTAGGGAAATACTTTACTCAAGAATATCTCTGTCATGCCAAAACATGCTTGGTCATTCCTAATTGATCAATATTTGTCAAGCGTTATCGTCATTATCATGATTAATTCATGAGACGCCAGCACTGAGTTCCGCCCTCATCTGCGTAGTATATCCCAATCTACATGATATACACCATGATATACTACCTGATAAACAAGCTTGAGTGTATTAGCCAAACTGACAGCTCTTCACAAAGAACTTGGAGAGGATTAAAAGGGTATGGCTGCAATTATACAAACACACCATGTTTGCTCAACTTCTGTGGCACTGTAAATCTGTCCCTTAACTGAAGGCAAACTTTCAGAAAATAAATCCTCGGATGAACTTGTTTACACCATTCAAAATATTTTTTAAACATCCCTTCTTGGTCGTGTGTTGATTTTGTGTTTAATTCTTCTGTGATCGTGTACATGTGTGCGTGCATACTTTTTACATTTATGATTGCCTGGAGCCGTCTTGGAAACCTCTGTGACTTCAGCGAACTGTGTTCTTTCTGCTCACAACTTACAACCTACTTTCTCCAAATGATCTAGAGGTGGTGGGGTAGTCTAGTGGTTAAAGCGTTCGAGCCGAAAGGTCCAGGTTTGATTCCCCACATGGATACAATGTGTGAAGCCCATTTCTTGTGTCCCATGCCATGATATTGTTGGAATACTGCTAAAAGCGACGTAAAACCTCACTCACTCATTCACATAAAACCCTCTTCACTCACTCACCATATGCATTTCGACCAAAATATGCAGCAAATGGCCGTGACAAAATAACTTTTACATGTTATCCATCAGTTCATTTTAATTTATTTGTTATAAACATAGTTTATTGTAGTATATAATGATCTTCTTATTGTTATATATACACTATGTAATACGCCATACAAATGACCTTTATCATTACTACCATTATTGTTTACAATAAATTTAGACTAAAACCTGTATTCTTTAAAATCAAACAACAGTTCATTGAAATTTAATACATGAAGTCACAGCTTGCAGAGCAGTATAAACATTAAAAAAAAATCAACCGTATTTCCTCAATTTCTAATGAAAGCTTGCATACTACTACACATTGACCTTTAAAAACCATTATTCTCCAACCAAGTTCTACAGTTCTATAAACAGACTTTTCTGAGGATTGTCCACAGGTGCCACTGTTGTGGCCATTTGAAAAAGATTTCGAAACCACTGACATCTAGTTTGTGCCACAAGCGAATGAAGAATGGCACGACAATCTACCTGAGCATTAATCCTTTTACTGAAGCAAAAATAACAGTGACATTTAAACACGTGAAACCGATTTGGTCATGTTATCAAACATGTCATCGACATCAGGATTCAGACATCAGGCAGTTATCTCCCTTCTCCATCATTTACTTCAAAATGGCAGCCCCTGGTCCTAATTGATTTTTCAGAGATTTCTGTTGAAGTGATTAATTAATAACACCTTTGTAACAGAAACCGCAGAGCGTAGGTGTAGCTTACACTGAGGTTCCACAAAGATTTTATCAGCATTTCCTTCACGTTAGTGATTCAGTTGAACTGGAGTTACCAAGTGATGGTTATATTTCTTTTTGTGCTTCATTTTTCAAGGGAATTTTATTTTACATGAGATTTACAAAAGATCAGGGGTGGAAATAACTATACCGGTACAGTGGCACATGTAAAATCACTTGCCCTGATCATTTTTCCACTATACTGGCCGTTTTCTTGTTGATTTTTTAAATAAACAACATAATTAACATTGGAATATCAACTGGACACCGGGTACAGTGTGATATACAAATTTGCTTGCCCGACAGAAAAATACACTGGACTCGGGCGTCGGGCAATGGGTTATTTCCACCCCTGAAGATGTTGAAATTTTGAGGAATTGCAAAAATTGGACACTCAGGTTCCTAAAGGATTTTCCACTTTAGTAAGTTAAGATAGATTAGGGCCATGTTGAAAACATTTCAGTCATACGCCTTGCCATCTTCATCGGAAGTCCAAAGATACATGCGTGGATATTTACGAGTTTGGGGAAACATATGTGTGAGTGAGTGGGTAAGGTTTTATGCTGTTTTAGCAATATTCCTGCTATATGACGGTTGGGTTTCACACACAGTACACGTACGAGGAATAGAACCCAGGTCTTCAGCATGACGAGCAAAGGCTCTAACTGCTAGGCTACCCTGCCACCTTGTGAAACCTATGGCTCAGCAAATACTAATTAACGGGACGTGGTTGACATTTCCCATATTAAAAAACACCCATGATGAATTATTATTTTTACGATACTGTTTCCCTTTTAAGAAAAAGATGCATTAAAGTTACCATCAGAAACTTGTCAATATATTACATATGTATCATGCGTAGTGATGCATGATTTCAACTGTTGTGTGAACCAAAAGTACAATCTCTAAACTCCTTTTTGGCATATTCCTTCACTGAGAAAAAAGTCCCATGGATTATTAACAAAATAATAAACTAGAACAGAGTTTTGCAGAATAGTTCAAACTTTTATAACAGTTTCAACAACAATTCTGATCCATCTGATTATACCTCAGGTATAAATTCACTGATACTAATCTTAAAACAAGTCCCCTTCAGCTTATCTAATTTGCATACTAGTGAGTGAGTTTAGTTTTACGCCCCACTCAGCAATATTCCAGCTATATGATGGCGGTCTGTAAATAATCGAATCTGGACCAGACAATCCAGGGATCAACAGCAGGAGCATCGATCTACACAAATTGGGATACCATGACATGTGTCAACCCAGTCAGCGAGCTTGACCACACGATCCCGTTAGTCGCCTCTTACGACATCGTGGGTTACTGAATATCAATTCTAACCCGGATCTTCATGGGTCTAATGTCTTTGAGGTATGACATACTTGTCATAGGCTAATGTCAAGGAAAAATGTTTTAGTTAAATGACGAAAAGAAATTATACATCCATCAAAGCATGGCAACACGGCTTATGTCAGAGAAATCACTCAAATCAGGAGATTCCCACAGATTTTTATTAATGGAATCCTCATAACACAGATATTCCTGTTTATGTTAGGATATTCCTGTTTATGTTAAATGCATGTGCAATGATATGAGATCAGTAAAGTTATTATAAAGTTAATGGTGAAGTTTACGTCATGTCACCAGTTTGGACCCCCATCTTGTTCACACCTGACACGTCTCAAAGTTGCTTGGAGCAAAACACAACGTCTGACCCAGGTAAAACCCTTGATTGTCAAGACAATAATGTACACCCACAAAAGTCTATTTCTTCAAGACATAGGTTTTTATAGATAAGGTTTCTAGGATTGTACTATCACACTCACACATGTTGATTTTTATTTAAGTATGTTTACAATAAACTGTATTTATACCGTAAACACTCATAACAAACTCCTGGATATAACGAACACTTGTTTGAGTCCCAGCATTCTCTTCCCACAGAGGTTACTTGTCATATCTTCCTACGAACCTCTGTTCTAATACGGACATATTTCCCGGTTCTCGTAAAATCCCCTAGCAGCAAAAAGTCACAACAAGAATTATCTCCCTTCTTTCTATCCAATCAGAACGCGTGTTACATCGACTTAAATCCTAAAATGGGGCCACAAATATCCCTCTTCTCTGCCGGGGACTTGTGTTGATGTGACACACACGACATTTAATGGCAAGCTTGTCCGTTGTCAACGAGGGCGATGGAGTCGCCATTGATCCGCATTTACATGACTGAGTTCTGTCTCGAAGAAACGTTTGCGCATCTCGCAGGGGAAGAGGTTCTAGTTTTCCAGAAGCATACGAAAATTACCGAGGCCGTGCGAATGATCACTTTTGAAACAACGCGGCTGATTGCCCAACTAAATTTGATTGCAACCAATCACGAATCCTGAACACTCGCTCCATGAAAGGGCCGTATTAGAACAGAGGTTCGCAGGAAGATATGCGAGTAACCCCTGTGGGAAGAGAATGGAGTCCCAGTTACTTGTTGTACATTAGACAAAAAAAAGAAATATGTCCGTTTTCGGTTACCCGACCGACCCTTTCCAAATCTACCCACCCACACTATTTTTAAAAAGCATTTTTTCGGCCTTAAAGTCGATATGAGTATCGAGAACTGCAGCTAAACAACTAAATTGGGTGTTGATCCCTTTGAGTTTCGTTATTACAAACTGCATTTCAAACAATTTACAAACCAAACAAGGAATATATTAAAAATGTTATAAGTAAAACTTGAGACGCCTTGTTTCAGCCATTTTATGTCACTGATCACATCTATTAGTAATGGTGTCCTTTCCTTATTTCATAGTCTAAAAACACTTAAAAATATTACAAAACTATTCATTTCAACACTTTTGTGTCAATATTATTATCTACTGTGAACTTACAAACCCACTTCTTGATATCATCACACATTATTTGAGAATAATAACTGTAGCATTTATTTTACAGCTGAGTATACCAACAGTAGCTGAACTGACAGCCTTTTCTGGGCATTGTAAGCCTCAACGAGACTGGACTGCAAATGAGACCTATTCATGCCTGTGCAAAGTTAAACAAATACAGACTGTATATTTCAATATAGTGAATGACAGTGGTCATGCTGTGTGTAAAGATTGCTAAGGCGGTAATCCCTATATTTTATGACCTATTGATACGGGATAAAGCCCTGAAAAGGAGTATGAATGAATGACAAGTAACCTTCACAGCTGAGCGGGTGGCTTCCCACTGGGTTGTTCTCCTGGCTCCTTCGTCCATGTGCCTTAGGAAAAGCCTCAAGTACTTTAACACTTGGGAAGAGCATTGTATAACACTGGTGTGGGTTTTGAACAACTTATACACCTACCGTATTCGTTCTCATAACCACATCATGGCTTCGAAACAAATGTTCAGATTGTAGACTTGTTAAGAGTTGTATTAAATGGATGTTGGTTTGTAGAACATGTCGCCTACCATATTCGTTCTGATAACCAGAGCATTGCTTTAAAACATATGTTCAAAATGAAGAGTTGTATAAAATCAGCGTTTGTTTGGCATAACATATATACCTACCATACTCATGTAACCATAGTATAGAAATGTTCGAGGCGCTGAAACCTTAATGATCTGAAAATATTTACTAAGTTTCCAGAACAGTCACTAAACAAATCCTTAACTTAGGGAACATCTTTTTAAAATCTTTACGGTACATTAATTTTCTCATTAAATATTAGTATATTGCACATGTAACACTGTCCATGACATGTCTGAGAAACACATTATTCTCTATCTGAATTATAACCGCTGTACAACATTAAGTGCTCATTATTTACAGATACAGATATTTAAATCCCTTTCTTTTCAAAACATTGAATCTAAATATTGCTGAGTGCAGCTTAAAACTAAACTCACTCACTCACTGTAAGAAATAAATCCTGTACAGCCTAAGCAAGTCTATAGTGGTTGGCTGGTCCAGAATACTCCTGGTTCCCTGAACGAAGAGTGTCTGGCCTTATGTGAATTACAGTAAGGCTCAGTTATAACAAACTCGAAGGGACCACTAAATTTAGTTTGTTATAAGTTATATGACTGTAGTTCAATTTCTTCTTTTTGACTGAAAAATGATAAAAGTGCTGCAGCCCCAAAATACAATTTATTATATTCGTCAGTCCTACCTGTCAACTCTCACGCATCCTGTGTGAGACTCACGCCTTTTACTTCAGTGTCACACACTCATGCATTACCTCCCTAAACTCACGCATTATTGAAAACTTTTATAAAGTAGCACCAAATGACATAAAAATTATCTTTAAATAACCTAAAAAACGATCTTGGTACAACCTCCCACCAAGGCCTGACTGAGAGTGCGCCCCCTGGACCTCAGATTCTCACTCATTGGAACTCTCAGAGGTTGACAGCTCTGAGTCAGTTAGTTATAAATGTTATAAACATTGTTCACTGAATAGTTTATTTTGATAATTTAACAACTATTTTTTCTGTAAAATCATTTGACTAAATGTTTGTCTCACACCAGAAAAAAACGTGATAGAAAAGCTGTCACTAGTCCTGGATTTACAAATGTCTAAAACGTATTCCAGCTATATGGCGGCGGTCTGTAAATAATCAGGTCTGGACCAGACAATCCATAGATCAACAACATGAGCATCGATCAGCACAATTGGGAACCGATGACGTGTGTCAACCAAGTCAGCGAGCCTGACCACCTGATCCAGTTAGTTGCCTCTTACGACAAGCATTATTTCTTACAGGTTCTGTAGGGGAACCATACATTGTGTACTTGTGGTTCATACATAATAATATTGACAACTACAACACTTTCAAAATAATCACCATGAACAAGTTGATACAGGTATTATTTTTATCTACAAAATGAATAAATGTCAACACTGTTTCCTTTCAAATGCTGTCCAAAATCGATACGTGTTTAGTGCTGATAAACAAAACTTTAGATCATCACTGTGTGAAAAAGATCCTTTATAAACAGCCATAAAACTGCGGAAGCCTCAATAGACACAACTATTTGCATTGTACACTACTTAAGGCAATTGAACACTACTGTACCAAGGATCTACATTACTTCCTTGATTCTTAAGGCTGTTACTTTGTAACTTAGCCAATGGGTTCACATAAGCTTGAATAACATGCCCAATCTATCTATCATGCACAGATCAAAACTCTCTTTTCTGACCACGTGAGCTCGTACAACAATGGAGATTTAAAAACTTTATATAGACTAGAGTCTGCTAGCCTAAACCCCTCACACATTAAGTGATTGTGAGATTAAGCTATACAAACCAAACTTTATAACCCTCATAAGCATTATAAAGTGTTCAGCTTTGATAAGCTAGCCCCATAAACATGCTAAATATGCCTTCGTCTTATGAATGACTTGAACGTTTGAGGGATCTGACGTCTAATATCATTAGTTTGATGGAGAACAGTATACAAGTAGTGCATATGTGTGATACATTATTGATGATCCCACATATAACAGTTCTTCTCGACCTTCTCTCAGACTGACTTTCAATCCCAAGATTGGAACAATGTCTGTTAAAACTCCCCAAAAGGAATATAAAACTTCCAATTCCTGTCGCATACATAACTATGTTATGCCTGGTGAAGGTGATTTGCATTTCACTGATAAGACCTAATAAGAGGACAAGGTTTTTATCATCCAGTTTACATTATTAATTCAAAGCAATTTCAAAATACCTCTAAACTAGAACAATATAAAAGAATCGAAATTTGGAATGCACTATTTTTTTCCTAATTGACCTGCAAGGGAACTTAATTTGGAAACTGATAAGTCCATGGTATATAATTAATATTGTTAAAACTGCTGAAATGTAAAAGATAAAAATTTAATTAATTCCATGAGATATCCTCATCCTTGGCCTAAAAATTGAAGCTCAAATCTGTTAAATTTCCGTCTAATTTTGAGCTTGATACTAGCCACAATAAGGGTATGCGCTGATAAATAAAACAATGCTTTTAAAACCACTTTACATATGATTTCCAACCTGGACTTGTACATTAGTAGCTGTCTAAACAGATACATCACTCGCAAAAATCATCATCACCAGAAATCAGCTTATCCTAGCATGAGCAAGGTAGAGAACTCTGCAACTTAGAGGATTTGGCAAACTGTGCTCCAAAAGGCATTAAAGGCCAGAATTTTGTCTCTACTAAAAAAAAATTTAAATAAAAAACAGAATAAAAGGTGCAATTATTATTAATATGGAACAACTATACGTTCATCAGAAACAACTCCTTCAGACAATAATGAGCTATCTATCACACAATCATTAGTGTAACATTAATCTATAGGAATCGGAAGCATCTCGACAGATGAAGACATGTCAGAAATGAAACAATAATTTCATCACAAAATCCCATCTTGCGAGAAACACAATCATTTCCAAAAAGAACTGCCATGTCTGTACATCCAGAACACATTCCATAAAGTTGTCTTTCCATTGAAATTACAGCCTGTCTCCGAGTACATTTGCCATTGTTCAAAACAATCTGGGTACAGCTGTCCTAAGTCGATGTAAGCTATGTGAATAACAACCACCTTAGCTCTAAGATCGCATTGTATAACAACCATGATTTAAAACAGTCGAAGCATTAACATCACTTTATAGAATGGGCACTAACAACAGTCAAATAAATGTTTGATTAACTCACATTTAAAACTAGACTAAATGGGGTTTTACCTAAAATCCAGGATTTTCCCCCAATCACAAGTTGGACTCAGTTCCTGTTGCTCTACATGAATCAATGCCAGACTCCAAGCCGTTGACAAACTTCCATCGCGATTTATCCTTGTACGTCATTGAACATGATAAGGTGACGTCAAAGCACTTACCAGAGAAGGTGATTAATTATACAAACCTGTGCTTCTATAATTTGTGTTAAACTGAACATACTTCTGTGTAATAATAATGACTACTATGGTGATGCTACACAAACGTCAGAGACTCAAACTTAATCACGTCTACTCAAGTAAGTTGTCCACACAGCTTTTATGACTTTTGTTAAGATTGATGGCCAGAGTGTATATGCGAGTCAGTTAAGAAATGGAATGTAGACAGCCTGTTTCATTTGGTGCGGGGCGGTGAGGTAGCCTAGTGGTTAAAGCGTTGGCTCTTCACGCCGAAGATCCGGATTCGATTCCCCACATGGGCACAATGTGTGAAGCCCATTTCTGGTGTACCCAGCCGTGATGTTGCTGGAATATTGCTCAAAGCGGCATAAAACCAAACTCAGTCAGTCAGTCAGTCATTTGGTGCAGTTTTTTCCTAATTTCCTCAAGAAACTTTATGATAAGTGACATAGTGTGGGTGACTTGGAATAAGGACTTGAATATGGTATAAAATCTGTGTCAATATCCACACAATATATATTTGTTGCAATTACTTTGAAAACGTTGAACAGTGTTTCATTTCTAGTAGTTTTATTCACCAGCCTTTGATTGGGGAAAGTCCGAAGTGAAAATTATGTTTTGCCATTTTAAGCCTCATTTGGCAATGTGATGTGATGGTAGCTTGTAAATATTCAGATCAGATAATCCAGTGATTGTGTCCAGCAATTACATGCAGGGTACACGGACTCAGAATCACCTGAGTCACTAAAACTGACCACTAAAACTGACCACACATCCAATCCACTCTGTCACCTCTTATGACAAGCAAAGGTTTCCAAGTACCTTTTATAAGCTAAATTCCCATAGGGCCTGAAGAGACGTCCAAAATATCTGCCTTTATTTTACATATACTTAAAACAATCAACCCAAACAACTTATAGCAAAACAAATATTAACCCACTGAGTTACATATTTTGTCTTTTCAATCTACCAATCAAAATAGCAAGCAAAAGTCTCTTTAAACGATAAAACAAAAAATATGCTACCTTAAACCTGTTCCCAGCTTTGCTGCAACCTGCAAGCCATTAAGCCCTGGCAGACAGCTTGTGGTCAGCTAATGGCCACTATAATGGCCAGAACAGTGTCACAACTAGATAACATCTCTTCAGCTGGAGGCCAGCACTTGTGGTGGACACTGACATGGCTTAAAGTAACAATTAATATCACCACTACAAATCTGTAAGTGCTCGTACCATATTTCCTCCAATAAATGCATACCTGTGTTTACCTGTAATTAGTATCATTGTAGTATTAAAGTAACCTCGGCCTTTAATTTCAGGTACTGCTTGTCTCTGGCATAAACTTGTTAAATTCTTTAAAAATATGTGTAATTAGATAAGGCCCTGGGCCAATATGTATGCAGCTATATCTGATAGAAGCTATACACGAAACGTGCAAAAAGTATCATTTGATGGTGAGGTATTAAATATGGATATAAAAAGTGTTAGCAACATCAACTGATTTCAGTGTTTGGAATTTTGACAGCCTATGAAAGTTTACATTTTTGGCCAATAAAAACCTAAGGATTTTATTTTTTGAGCGGGGAAAATTAATTTATATTTTTTTCTTATTCTTTTATATATATATATATGTCCAGTCAGGGGTGGAAATAACTTTAAAATTGCTAGTGTACTCCGGTACAGTGGCACATGTAAAATCACTTGCCCTGATCATTTTTCCACTATACTAGCCGATTTTCTTGTTAATTTTTTAAATAAACAACATAATTAACATTGGAAAGTCAACTGGACACCGGTACACTGCGATATACAAATTTGCTTGCCCGACAGAAAAAAACACTGGACTGGGGCGTAGGGCAATGGGTTATTTCCACCCCTGCCAGTGAATTAAAAATACAATTAGTCTGGCCTTACCTTGTTTTTGATTTTGCGAACCCAAGCACATGCATAAAAGTACAGAAGGAATGTGACATGCTCATGTTAGACACAAGAACAGCAAGCAACCTCCACTGACATCAGCCATTTTGTCCATCCAATCCCTACTAAGTCCAAATTGGCAAGCAGAGACATTAAGAAATTTTTAAGAAGTCAGTGTGTTACATAGGTTCATGCTAGTGGTTTATTTTGTTTATAAATGACTTGGAAATAATATTAAATACTGGTCTAAAATTTTGTTTTATTCTTCAACAATTAATCTGTATACATGGAAGTTCAATCCACCAAATATGCACATGCCTCATAACAGCCCTGTACTAATACGAAAGTAATGACAACATCTGTGGTAAGGAATAAATATCTCATAAAACAACAATTAATTCAATAATCTTATAATTCATAACAGTAAATAATCCAAGATGGATAAGTGTCAAGGAAAAAACAAATTAATGGTAGAAAACATTATATCAGGAGACAAATTCTGTCATCTTTAATACAATCGAAACTCTTTCCAGAAAATAACTTTCATTTGAATTTTGTTGCCTCAAATGTTGTATGTTAATCAAAGGACATATCTGCATAGCTTCTAAATATTTATCAAAGATAACTTAATGATCCACCTTAAAATACTCTCTCTCTCAGAGTCTCTCTCTCTGCATAGTTTCTAAATATTAATCAAAGATAACTTAATGATCCACCTTAAAATACTCTCTCTCTCTCTCTCATCAGCTCGCTCTCTCTCTCTCTCTCTCTCTCTCCCTCAACATCAGCTGATAGACAGTTAAAACTCTGAGTATATTTTCCCAACGATAATGTGATTTCCTAAATTATCACAACCTATTATTCTGTCAAATACAAAATTATAAGAAGCTGAACAGCACATCATCAACAAGGGTAGTGAATGCCTCCAAGTTCGATTCATCTCAAAACTCTCAGCAAAGGTATGCAGTTGTGGCAATATCCACGGTGCAGTGAACTCATCATCGGATTGATACTACCACGATACCAGCTATAGACAACAGTGTGTGGCTCGGCTGTCAATCATTTCGAGCAACTCAACTACTGTCGCTAACGAATGTAATTGACAACTAGTTACATAACACGCCGTTCAGGTGAAAGAGATTACCGCTACCCCCGATACAGGAACGCCGTCAAATGAAACAGGTGATCTTGCGTCGAAAATTGCGGATATTTCAGTTGTTAATTCTAAATAACCCTTTGAAGAATTAAAAACTGAAACAAACCCGTGTATTGTTCAGGAAACGACAACACACGGAAAATAACATCAGATATTTTGCAAGCTGATAATACGAACACCTGTCATTGTTTAACCGATCGAACAGACATATGCGAGATGAAATTTATTCACTATGGACAATTCATTGTCGGTTTAATCGTAACTTGTTTCACATTCACGCTAATGCTGATTTGGATAGGATATCTCTAAAATGAAGGAATTTCCTCACTGTCAAATAAACCCCTTTAAACCATAAACTTTTTAAAAGTCTATTCCAGCTAATGGGGGTTTTACCGACCCGCTCTTTCATTCAGCTGATATATGTCCCAACGTGTCTCGTTATAAAGCGTCATGGCACTTTGACAGGTTTAAATCCTATAAAGTTCGTCATAAACTGAAAGGACCCCACATTTCTTTAGCACCGACAGCGAAACGTTAGAGTGTACATCTTCTATTAAGTGGGTTACGTTCAACGCTCGCAGGGCACTTGGTTGAGTACGGAACTGCTCAGCGCTTCGTAGTCAGAACAAACTTACCTCGCATATCTTCTGTGTCATCGTTCCCGCGGAATTCTGTTTGTTCATTTCGTCCGTCAACCACAAAATAAACAATTTTGGTCGTCATACTTCGACTCGAATCCTCTTATCGGCCTATGTAGTAAGCCACATGACACAAGCCCACTGACGATCGCTTGCTAGCACATGGTATATGCTGAACTAGATTTCCGCGTTCTGTCAAACTCCTTTGTGTTAAAATACCGACATAATTTGGATGTATATCCTTGTTGTCATATCCAGCGTTGAACTGCTATCCACTACACATCGGCATAGAAACCCAGGCTTGGTAGGAACATTAACGTGTCCGCGTTGAACTGCGAATCGCCCATGACAGTCCACTAAAACATTCTATCGCTAGCAGGGAATTTTTGCCCTGGTTGAGCGACTGTTATCACGTGGTATGCCGTATTTCGCTTCACGCATGAAGCCCCACGAGCGTTCAACGGATCTCGTGCAGTAAGCCACACACTTACCCTAGTTTCCGCGTCAAATAGGGAAGGCGCGAGCCGCTCGTAAACATTATGAAATTGTTAGTCCACAGTCGAGAATCTCAAGTCAACGCTTGTTAAAACAGTGCCTAACAGTTTAGCATCGCTTAGCAACGAAAGTATTGCGATCTGTGAACGTTGCTTTCATTTTTCAGAAATTACTGCTACAACAAATAACTGTCCAATTTCCTGGACCTTTATTGAACAATCAGTATCATTTATACCGATAATTTTTCATCATTACACTTTTTCAAAATGTTCTCAATATATATAACGATCAATTTTAATTAATACAGTTTCTAAAAAATGTTCTCAAAGCTCTAATTGATATACTACAACATATAAAGTGACGGTGATCTTTTCAACTGAATTCTTATCACAGACAAAATTCAAAACGTTAAGGATATGGGGCTTTTTTCGCCATGTCGGTCCCTACCAGATGCTGGTTCAAAATGGTCCCCAATAATAACAGTATATGGTCCCATTGGCGACTAGATCAGGAGTTCTTTGTCGACGACTTGGTTCACTGTGTGTTACAGTATTCCCAGCGAAGCGTTGGTAATTATATCAACCACTGGTTTGTCTGGCCTGGCCCCGATTTCTCGAAACAAACTTAAGTCTGAGTTTTGACTTAAGTTCGAATTTTTACTCAAATTTGAGAAAACGCATTTCCTAGAATGAACTGAAATCGATATTAAACTCAAACATAGTAGACAATTTGAGTTTGGTGAATAGAATACTTAAGTTGTTTGGGCTTTTTTATTATAAAAATGCAGCTGAGTTCAAAATTCATCTGTTTCAAATTGTCAAACTCAGTTTGAAATTTGAGTAAAAACTTAAGTTTGTTTTGAGAAATCGGGGCCTGGACTCGATTATACAGATCACCGTTACATGGGCAAGCGCTTCGGGCATTATGGCTTAACACGATAAACAAGCACACCCTTGTGTCCGGTCATTTTGACAGACAGTATGGTTTTACGCGACTTTTAGTAACATTCCAGCAGTGAACACCAGAAATGGGCTTTACACGTTGTCTCCAAATGAGAATCCGGGTGTTCGAGCGAACGCTTCAACTATTATCCTACCTTACCGCTTCTTTCGGGAACTCAGATTAACCGGTTTTATCCGTTTGAACTGAAATATCCCATGGCTAGTGAGTGAGTGAGTTTGGTTTTACGCCGCTTTTTGCAATATTCCAGCAATATCACGGCGGGGGACACCAGAAATGGGCTTCGCAAATAGTGCCCACCATGGCTAGTGTATCTACACTGTCTTTAATACAGCTTTAAACGCCGCCATATAGCTGGAATATTCACTCACTTAAAGCTTTAAATGTGGTATAAATGGCTATGATGTTATTTTTCTTCGTTATATTTCCCGTTCTTTAAAAATGTAAACTGTCGGGCAAAAGAAAGTGTAAACTTGAAAATGTGATTTGATCTCAAATCACAAACATAATCAAAACGTTACTAGCCTGAAACAGTCGTCGAAATGCTACGTAAACTCCAGGTTTAAAAGATAGCTGTATCAAATGCATCACACTCTAGTATTTGTTTTCTGTTTGTTTCATTTTAAGCCACTACCAAACACACCTATTTTTCTTGATCGGAAGTGTTTTATAATACTTGAACGCGATTTTATCCCAATGCAATAGAATACGGCTTAAATGTCACATGTATTGTGTTTTCAAAACGTTTGTTTGGCCTACCTCCGACGTAATGGTGTTTTCACAATTTTATTACCATTCTGATCTTAAAAGGATTTAGAGTGGACTTGAATCTGTTTCTTTTTTGAAAGCATTTACGATAAAATTGTATTCATAAATCAATGAAAGTAATACAACATTTAAAAGTCCCCTGACGGGAAATGTGACGTGTGTATCTGTTTTCCTTTGAACAACCTCGATCTTCATGTCAAGCAAATCTCAGGACATTTCGCATTCATGGTGTATTGACGCCATCTTTGAGATCAAAGCGAAGGTACTACTAGTGTATGTTGTGTTCAGCGACACGTTTGTATTCAAAGCGTTTTCAATCAGTTTCTTGTTTCCACTGTATTGCAGAGTGAAAGTGAATATTGTTTTAGTACGCACGTCAACTATATATATATCAAAACATCCTCTAAATGGTTGAGACCCGTGAAGGTCCGGGTTAGAATTGATCTTCAGTAACCCATGCTTGTGGTTATAAGAGGCGACTAACGGGATCGGGTGGTCAGGCTCGCTGACTTGGTTGACACATGTCATCGTATCCCAATTGCGTAGATCGACGTTCATGCTGTTGATCACTGGGTTGTCTGGTCCAGGATCGATTATTTACAGACCGCCGCCATATAGCTGGAATATTGCTGAGTGCGGCGTAAAACTAATCTCACTCACTCACTCACTCTAAATAATCGAGCGAAGTTTTGTAAGCTTTGTATTCAAAGTCCTTTTAGTTTGCTCGTTTTGCGAGAACGTGTGAGTAAATTCAGTTTTACGCCGCACATCTGTTATATCACGACACCTTCAAAATAAGGAAGCTTGGCGAACTATGAATTCAAAGCTCTTTTAATTTTCTTTTTCACCGCTTCGCGAGAACGTGTAATTAAATGCAATTTTACGCCGCTCATCTGTTATATACCACGATCGCCAGTAAATACAGTTTAGACCATGCAAATCAGAGTGAAAAAGGACCTCTCAGTCGGGGACCGATGACGTGATACTAGTCAAGTCACCAAGCCCGACTACCGGGTACCCTTGTATCGACAAGCATGGATTATAACTAGGGCCATTTTTCACCGGGTTCCTAGAAGGAGTGCTTGTACATCGGTATGCTTTGGACATGGACAATAATTATTGACATCGTTGTAATGAGTGTTGATTATCCTTAAAGATTATACTAATACCTTGCCAATATATACTCAACATAACCACGTGAACAGAATTTGTATCATCATCATCATCATCATCATCATCATCATCATCATCACAACAATAATACTGCTATCCAGAACCCCAAAACCCTTTCAAACGAAAATGAGAGGACAGCGTCTATCGATATTTAGTGAAGGAAACATTCTTTCAACTTTAATCGATTTTTTTGTAATCCGGCTGTCTTCCTGGTTGAATGTTCTGGGAAACACAACAATGAGTATTGTAAATCTCGAATCAATGTCTCCTGTCATCCTGTTTTCAAGGAACTGAACAGGACATGATCGAGAAAATGTATTTTTCTGTCGGTATTAGTTATTACTATTAGATGGTGATTTGTAGAGACGTGGCCTTGCGGTACACGCGTTCGCTCCTCACCCTGGTGACACAGGGTCGATTCTATAGTATTAACTACTATTTAGTAATATACAAACCATGAGAATCTGTTGAATGCGAAACCCGAACCAACCAAACCCGATTTGATTCTGTTTCCGGATTCACTAACTTCGAGTGATTTCTATGAGTGATTTCTTTAACTTCACCCCTGCCACGGTTGATGTATGAAGTCTCTATAATTTTGCATAAAGAATTACGATTGCATCAGTTTTTCGCGTTTTTAAAATGTATGTCTCGAACGGTCATGAAATGCTAGCAGAAAATCATCTACAGCAACAATAGCGCGACGTAAACCACCATGCATGATACGTTATAGAATCAGGTAACCCGTGAAGGTCCGGGTTAGAATATTGATCTTCAGTAACCCATGCTTGTCGTAAGAGGCGACTAACGGGATCGGGTGGTCAGGCTCGCTGACTTGTTTGACAAATGTCATCGTATCCCAGTGGAGTAGATCGATGCTCATGCTGTTGATCACTGGATTGTCTGGTTCAGACTCGATTATTTACAGACCACCGCCATATGGCTGGAATATTGCTGAATGCGGCGTAAAACTAAACTCACTCCCTCACTTATAGAATCAGGGATAACACCCTGAATGTGAATCTCATGAAATATAATTCTAATGAGAGCGACAGGTTATTCCAAGGTTAAACATATTGCTGGAATATTGCTAAAAGCGGCGTAAAACCAAACTCACTCGCTCACTCACTCCAAGGTTAAACATGTTATGTAATAACTTCGAGTTCGATTCCCGAAGACGTATACAATATATATAGGAATAAATTAGAGCACCATTAAATACAAGACTGCTCATCGAGAACAAAAGCCGAGTGGCCCAGTGGTCTCAGTGTTTGCTCATCTCATACCTAGAGGAACGGGTTTGATTCCAGTAGATGTTTTAAACACATAAATCGTTTCTGTAGTTCCTGGCAATAATACTGAATAACCAGTTGTTAAAGGAAGCTGTTGACAAATAACACCCCCTGGTATATAAAAATGTAACAATTTAACAAAAAAACAAATCATAATTAACATTATTGGCTAGGCAGAAAGTTGATGAAGCCAGAGAGTAGACAAAGGACAGGCGTGGAAGCCAATGATGTACAAATAATAATAAGATGTTTATACAGCAGAGTTTATACAGTAGATTGGGCTTGGTGGATGAGTGCATCATAAGCGGATGGAATGAATATACATCCAGTATATATATATACTTCCCCCTTCTTCATGTTCCATTATGCTTGACAACGGTACAAGAATCTGTATCGAAACGTCGCACTCACGAATAGAAGTTGTTATCCATAAAGATTGTTCTATATTGTACTTCCCAACTTCTTAAATACCACTCAAAGAAGTTGTACATGTACATCCTGTCACGAGTCACCGTGCGCCGTGTGAGGTACACACAGTACATGCGGATACACACATTCTTTTGTAATACACACAACATGTTGTTTATCTACATCGTCATACATCGGTCTGTGTGTCTAGGGTGGCGTTGAAACACAAACAAACAAATCAGGGCGGAAAAAACAAGGGCGACAGAAGAAATGTTTCCACGTGTAGATAAGATTCAAGATGAGTAACAT